ATAAATATAACATTCTACATGACATTTAATTCAGATGATAGCTAATTATAGAATTATTCTATGATATAGATGGTTGAATTTCATGTATTATTTTAAAAATTAATTTCATGGTTGTTGTTTTTTTTTTCTGTTTTCAATCCCTGGGTTTCTGTGTAGTCCTTCCTTTATGCATTACATTTAAAATAGAATATCTCAGGCATTGAAAGATGAAAGGTTTTACATCAATTCTCTTTTTATGTTTTTAGAATTTGTGTTTAAACATTTTTAAATGCCTGAGACATTGGAAATCGGCAGGAATCAAAGAAACCCTTCACCATTGTTGTGAGCAGACTGGAGCAACCACGATGGAAATCAATTGGAGATACCTCACAGAGCTGGGACTAGAGTTTCAATTTGACTCAGCCATCCCTCTGCTGGGTATCTTTCCAAAAGAATTATAAGAACCATACCACAGTGATATATGCACACCCATGTTTATAACGGCCCAGTTTGTAATAGCTAAAACTTGGAAATAGCCCCTGTGCCCATCAGATACAGAATATGCAGGTTTTTATAAAATGAAATACTACTCAGGCATAAAGAATGAGAAAATAGCCGGGCGTGGTGGCGCATGCCTGTAATACCAGCACTTGGGAGGCTGAGGCAAGGGGATTGCTGTCAGTTCAAGACCAGCCTGACGTACACAGTGAGTTCCAGAGCAGTCTGATCTACGTAGTGAAACCCTGTCTCAAAAAAACCCAAAAAAATAATAAATAAAAAATGAATGTGAAAATGGAGTCATTCACAGGAAAATGGATGCATGTTGAGGATATTCTCTTAAGTGAAATAAGTCACACAAGTATAAATACTGAATAGTTTTTCTGATGTGAAAGACTATAACTGTACATAAGATTCTAATGGCATATTTGACCATGTGAAATAGGAAGAAAAGGACTAAAGTTGTAGCGGAAGTGGGAAGTGTAGGGTAAAGAAAATAAGGTAAAACAAATTGTGCATGAAAAAATGAAAAAAATAGAAATAAAGTATAAATAGGGAAGGGAGGAGGGGTGAAGGGAGTACAGGGGTAAGGGGAAAAATGAGAACCAAGAGCTGTCATGTAAAGGTACAAGATCCCAATGATAAATGTAACTCTACTGTATACCTAAAATAAACCAATAAACTCAATGAAAAAAAAATTTTGAATCCATGTCTTACTATTTCTATTTCCAGCTTCTGTAAGTTTTAGTCCTTCAGGTAGACCAGTATTGCTATTTTAACTCTTCTCATCACTTGTCCATACTCATGTTCAGTTCTAAGAAAATCTTTGTCTTTATATATTACTGAGAATCAATCTCAGTTGTAATTCATCTCTTTCCCTTAAAAAATGATATTTTGACACCTTTCACAGAGATGTCCTCTGGAATTCATTGAAAGACTCAAAAATAGCCTATTGAAATGCATTTTGTTTCAACAAATGTTTTTGAAAACACATAGTGAATCATTAAAGCTTCTCCTTTTCTCAAATAAGCAGCCAAAGCTTCAGTGGCATTCATTGTTCCCTAAGTATGATATATAATAAATATACACTGAAGTAGAATTGTGTGAGGAATTCGATATTAGAGTTTTACATTCATAAATGTCTGACCAGGGGAAAAACATAGATACAGTAAGAAGGAAAAGGTCTCTTAGAACATGGAGGACTATTTAGCCACACTTTGATCCACAGGGTTTGAATTAAGTAGAATAATCTCACTTGTTGAGCTTTCTGTCTCAAGGCTTCAGGCAGCTCTATTTTCTCTTTCTTTCGATTTTTAAAATTCCCTATCTTCAGTCTTTTTCTAAATAAGAAGAAAAGGAATGGTGGCCACACAGCCAGTGGGATTCAAATCACACCCAAAGCGTGGTAGTGGAACCAGGACATGCTGTGAGCAGTTAGCTGGAGGTGCTTGACTCCTTTGAGATTTTTGGCAAATTCAATCCAAAAGGCAGCTGAAGCCAAGGGACTGATAGGCTGATCATGTTTACAGAATTCTCTGTAAAGAAAACGTAAAATGAAAAAAAGACATGACCTTTTTGAATAGACGAAAAGTTCAGATTGTTGTGTAGCTAATAACACATAAAAAAGGGAGAAAAATCAATTATTTTCTTCAAGGATCTATACTGAAATCATAATGTACAGAGCAGAATTTTCAGAACACCAATATTTTAACTATATGAAAACAAAGGTTAGAAGAACATAAATATTTCTAATGTAAAGATGGCAAGCAGTCAATTGCCAATGGAAAAACCAATAACAGAAAACAAGCAATACATAGTATAACTTTGAAGAGTATAGAACTTCAATTATACAGTAATCAATTATTAATGAATCTGTTTTACAAGGTTCAAAACTGTACCAAAACTTAGAAGAAGGTAAGTCCATAGTAATTTTTAAAACTGAAATAAAGAAAATAAGTTTACAGATTAACACAAAAATATCTCATAAACTTTACAAAAATTATATAAAATACATATATAGAAAAATAATAAAGTGGAAAAAATTAAAGATCTGTGTAAACGGAAATGTCTTTCATATTCCTGTACTGAAAAATATTAACAAGAATTTCCTCATTCCCAAATTTATATTCACATTATACACTGTCAGCATCCTAATGAGATTTCTTGTACAAGTTGAAAAATTTAGCCTATAATTTCATGTCAATAGACAAGCCATCTATGAACATCCAAACTGCCTGAGCATGAAGTTCAAAGCTGGCGGATTGCTCCTTGTTGACTTCCAATCCAATCAAAAATCTACATAAATCAAGAAATAATGATTCAGATGTGTATATATATATATATATACGTATGTATATGTATATATATACACACACACATTCATATACATGCACATAAAGATATACATATATTTATATATATACACATGCAAAAAAATTTATAATATTGAAAATACTTTATGCATAGATGTTCTTTTGAGTTTTGAAAGGATGCCAAACTCTTAAATGGGAAAAGCAACAAGTTACACACAAATACTACTGATAAAACAGATTATTGACATCTAAAGGAATGAAATTGTATTCCTTACCTCAAACTACATCAATCTTTTAATAAGCAGAAGCCTCAATATCAGAACAATAAATATTAAAAAGTCAATAGAAGTATGTTGAAATATCTGTGATATTGAATTTGGCAATAAGCATGACCTGAGAATCAAAAAAACAAATAAATTTGATAAAATTTGACTTTGTTAATATTAAACCATTTTTTGTGTGCCAGGAATTAAGCTCAGAGGTACCACTGCCTGCCAAGGATCCAACTTTGATCCCCTGCTCCAAAAAAAAAAAAAAAAAAAA